GAATAAGCCACGCAAATAATACTGCTGTGTGACCTATAGTCAAATATTTTTAGTTCTGTATTTAGATGAGTACCTGGCGTCATTTCTCTCCTTGAAATTAATATTACAGCATTTGGGCGTGTATTGTGTGAAGTTAAACTTTGAAAAAAAAAATCATGAAACCAGTGTTGCAAGTCACGATAGAGTCCCGTCAGGTGAAAACATAGCACAGGAAATTACGTTTCGAACCCATTTTCATTCAATTGCTTTAAGCTTTTTATTCAATTATCGTATTATTTTCTTAAAGAAGTCTAATTCGAAACAAAATTTGATTTTCAGCGAACAAAAGCTGAGTGTGGGTCTTATGTGGTGGGTATGTTTTGAGGAAAATTCCCTGCCAACAAATCAGCTAGGTACTGGTCTCACTTGAGGGCGCCTGATGCTAATTGAGTAAATACATTCCACGGAGAAAAAAATACTTTTCTTTTACCTGCTTTTCGTTCAAAATCGCGGGATTTATTTGAGTAAATAAGTAATTGATCTTCCCACTCTTCCCAAAAACCGCGGGGACTGGAAAATTGGTAGGACTGTTTGCGGAAGAAAAAAAAATCGCGTGAACATCTACTCTCAAGAAGCACTTTCGTGCGGTCTCTGAATCATCCACGCCGTGATTGCGTGATAATGAGCGTCGTGGTTCCAGTCCGTCGCGTGCAAGATATTCTCTTTACCCAGCAGCACCTCCTCCATTCTCCTCCCTTTTCTACGAGTGCACGAGGAGCATAGATCCAATGGTTATTTGGAAAGTTTCTCATTTAACATAGGTTTTATATTGCCATGTTTAGCCGAGTGCCATGCGTACCTTTCTTTTTTTTTTATCGCAAAATTAGGGTAAAAAAGTGGGGTGCGCGGTATGCGGATACAGGGGGACTCTTCCAAGAACGATCTTGTCTAACAACGGATTTCTCTCTATCAATATTTTTGTGTCCCATAGTTCTCTACCCAGCAGGTTAATAAGGATTCTCTGCAAAGAATTTTTTCCAAGTAGTCCATTGAATTTTTTTGTAGATAATAGAGACCACCTGCATAATTTTTTTTTTTGCACAAATGAAGCATTATTTAAACCTGGAGTGAAATTCATTAGAGAGTCTATTTGGCTGTGAGGAATTAAGGACCACCAAATTATTTTTGGCACTTATATACTCTAATATTGCTTCAATTTACCGTATTTACTCAAGTACCACATGCACCTTTTTTCCCAAATTTCAAAAGAAAAAAGGGGTGTGCGTCATAAGGGTATACAAAATTTTTGAGAAGTTTTAGGAAGTTATGTGTGCATCATACTTGGTTATAATGGATAAATTTGGAGCAAATGTAATGAGAAAATGTTTTTGTATTGAAAGAGTTGAAAATTGATGAGATTTTTGTTCAATTCATGCCTAAAGTCAATTTTTTTGTTTTTATTTGCAAAATTTTGTGGTTTCAGATTCACTAAAAATTGGGATTCCACGTCTTACTTGGGGATAAGATTTTAGCAAAATTTCCAACTAAAAGACCCCTCTGCGCGCCTTACTGAAGGGCGCATGGTACTCCAGTAATTACAGTATTATGATTACTTAGTTAAACATGATTTCTTTAGAACAGATTTAATATCAGCAAAAGCTTGGGTGCACATCATGCTAGGGGATAGTTTTGTCAAATTCGATTTTTTTTAAAATAACATTCAGGCATGCGCGTTGTACTTGAGCAAATATGGAGTACTTTATAAATGCATTTTTTGCTATTCGAGTTGTGATCTATTGAAATAGAAATGCAGTACGTACGAAATATTTCGGGATGGTCAAACGGAGAATATTACATGCGGGATGGACTTTTTCAGCTCATTCAAGGCATCTCAAGGCTTGAAAGCGCTTCTTCTAGCGGTTCCTTTGATTTTCATTTTACGCTCACGCATGCTATTGACAGTCAAATATAAATTTTTTATTTCCCTAGACGAACGCCGGGTTTATTTTCACTCTAAAATCATAATCCAGTTCTTTATTATGCGTTACTGATTTACTGTTTCATTATTTACAATTACAGTATATTCTCTTTGACCAAAGTTTGAATCGATGCTTTGGAAGTGACTACAATTGTTTAACGAACTAAAAGACACGTTTTATTCGATGAAAATCACTTGGTAAACGGAGGAGCATTTTCTGTGTAAATCCGCGTTCGCTTCTTGATTCGCACGACTTGTCAGCAGAGAGATTCAAATGTTTCGAAAGAAACCGTTACTCTCGAACTCAGGAATTTCCACTTGACAGCGTTGAATCATTACGAGAAGAAATGGCGAAAAACAGCAGCTGTCAGAAATGTCCAGAGATCAGCGGGATGCCGAATTTCATTGAGTAAGCGACTCAAACGGAAAATAGTTTCGCTCGAATAAAAGGGAAATTTGTCTTGCAAAAATGCCTAAAATAGATAACAGAAGAGCCTGACGATTCTGGTCATGCCCCCGTTACCAGCTCAATCTTCTCGAAGAAATCCAATTTTAAGCAGGAATTTCCGCAATTGCGCTCTCAAACTGAGAATGGCTGAATGAGAGTCGTTCAAGCAGTTTCAGACCATTTCTAATTTTCTATTCACGCAAAAAAAAACTGTCGATTAGATAGTCAAGACCTTCGCCTGAAAAAAAAAACGAGACGTTTCTTATGAAATATGCCCTGGTATTTTGCACTCAGTGTTTAAGGAAAAGTGCGCCATTTATTCGAGAGAAAAACAAACCGTCATGTCATCATTATATGCACTAAAATGTGAAGTACAGTTTTATACCCTGAAACGCTGATGAGACAATGGAGCATCAACTTAGGTTCAAGAAACAGCGAGCTTTCAAGAAATGCTCAACTTTATCTGCAAGAAGAAGAAAAAAATCACAACTTGTAACTTGATCTGAGGGAATTTTTTTTTGGACCCTTGTATGCATTCGGAATCAGATTCGCCCAGATCACGCATCTCGTCCCGACGATTAACTGCGTGTAAAGACGGGGACGTCTTCGGGCCGCCAGTTTATTGCTGGTCGACATGCGACTGCTTTTAGTGTTCCTGGCGGACGAGGAATTTTTACAAACGGGTTTCTATAATCCGTTTTACTGTTTTTCTTTTTTCCCCTCCCTCCATTCCTCCTTTTTTTTTTCTTTCGTCGGCAGTGAAGGGACAACTTCAGGGGGATCGCATTTGATGTCTGATGAGCTGGATGGAGAGGGAATTAGGGGAACAAGAAGGGCGGTTTTTCGGTGCTTAACCCTGGCGTTCTTCATTTGGGTAATGACCCGGGTAGTTTCCTGGTCTGGGCGCGTAGGAGGACTTCTAAGAGCGAGACCAACTGTAAAAAAAAAAAAAAAAAAAAAAAAAAAAAAAAAAAAAAGAAGGTAAAAAAAAAAAAAAAAAAAAAAAAAAAAAAAAAAAACTGACGGGTATCGCTTTTGGGAAACAGATGCAATGTATGTAGATCTATATTTTTCTTTCAGTCCTTCCTTCGTTTGGGAAGTAAATGGTCAGAGTTGTAAATGACCTCGGTACTTGAAAAAAGAAAAAGAGCAGATGTCGTAAGGGGCAATTTTTCATTTCGATTCGAAAGCGACATTTCCCCTCATTTGGAAGGGAAACTCAACTGTGCGTTCGTTTATAAAGTTTCGTCATGATACTGATTAACGACTCAGACTTGCAGCAGCTGTACCACATTTATTTTCCGTTTCAGCGTGTATTATATTTTCAAAATAAACGCACTCAGTTTATTCAGAAAGTTAACTGTTCATGTAATCTAAATTACGCCCAAGGAACTGGTATATAGGAAACTTGCGTGTAAGTTTCAAGGGGCAAATTCGGGATTTGAAAGAGTACAGTCAACCCCTGTCTAATGGACTTGATTCATGCAAAGGACAAGTCTGTTAGAAGAAAAGTCCTTTACATGAATTCAATTACATAAAAAATTAAAAATTTCCCCTTACGACATCTGCTCTTTTTCTTTTTTCAAGTACCGAGGTCATTTACAACTCTGACCATTNAGTCTGTTTGGCAGATTTTGTCTGTTGGGCGGGAGAAAAAACTGCTTGCAGAGCTGGTCTGTTTGGCAAAAATCCCTTACACGGGAGGTCTGTTAGGCAGGGGGCCACTGTACTGTACTTTCAATGTACTAAGTGATCTGCAAGAAGTCAGGCATACAAAACTGCGCCGTTCTAAATATTTTAATTTGTCTCCATTCCATTTTTGTTCAAGAGTTGTGACTTGTGAGTACAAAAGAATCCTGCAAAAATTGTTGACAAAGAGAACAGAATGCTCAGTTTCCGGCGAAAAAAAATTCTATGCCTCAATTTTGTTCATCCCAGTGAGAAAAATCGAGAATCAGGAAATAAATATATACTCTGTTTCCATGGATTGATTAATCAATTGAGGAAAATGTTGACAAAATTGCGGAAATTATGAAACATTATTCTAGCAAATATTTCATATAGTCACCGGCTACTAGGTCAAAAGGTGAAAATGGTTCGTCTGGAAAACTTTTCAAAATGCAGTTTCATCTTGACAAAATACAGTAATATTGCAAGAACTCGGTCGAGTAATTTTTGGGGCAAACTAGGGACTGAATGAATTAAATTCCATAGTATAGTAGGAATACAAGTGGGTTTCGGACTTGAAACCTTTATGATGAGACCTTTATCAAAAGTTGAAATTATGAATCCCGGAATAATATGGGCATATAACGTACACATGTGGCTGCAGCCTGAGAAACGTGAAAGACGTTGGTCGCGAGTTAATCAGACATTTCCCATCACCCGCGAGTACGGGAAAGTTCAAGAGGGCGATTTTTTACGCGTAATTTGTAACCCATTCATCACGGCCGAGTGCGGGTTTCTCCCCACCTTAATTAGGGACCGCGTTGCTGACCAGTGCTCTTTGTTCTTGGTCCCTCGCCGCACGGATTTCCGCCTGTCCAAGATTTTCAATGTCGACATGGATTGAGAAATAATGGAAAACGTAGTCGGATGCACGCTGAAGGGAAAGGGCGTCTCATCGTTTTCCTCGTGGCGTATGGCTGCTTCCTTTTTGCATTGTCGGCAAAAGTGATGTCTTACTCAGATGGGTGTTGCCTGTATATAGCAGGAGTTTGGGCGAACGCCTCTCCGGTTGCCGCAGAAATGGAATCATTCGTTCAGGATATGAAGGGGGGGGGGGGGAACGATCGTTCCTGTATGACTATTTTCAATGCGAAACCCAAAATTTTCCTCAATACAGTGACACCCCCACATGCAGACAACTCAATATGAGGACAATTCGAGTTGGGAAAATTTATTTTTCAATAAAAAGGGCATAAAAAAGGCCCAACACACAAACACTTACTCATCACAAGGACATTGCATGATAAAATTAGCAATAAATTAAAAAAAAAATTTGACTTTTATTTGGTTTGATTGCAAGAAACATATATTTCCAACCCTAAGATTTGTGCGAGAAAATTTTTTTGTCATTTATCCCATAATTTTTCCACCCATTATGCTAATTAAAAAAATACCTATTGCATACAGGGACTTACTTCTCTCTCTTTGTGAATTGAATTTTATTTTTGTAGATTTCAACATTTCAATGTACAGTACAGAGATACACTATTTGCTGCTCCAAATGTTCTTATTGAGTTGAAAAATAGATTCACTGAATCAAATTCAAGTGGCAAACATTTTTTTTCATTGAATTCTGAAGAATATTTTTTCCTTAAAACAACAATTAAAAATTAAAGAATGTAAGTCTATGGGAAAACAAGACTTGACTTAGGGACAATTCAACTTAGGGACACTCTTGATGCACCAACTAAATCTGCATCGGGGGGTCTCTCTGTACATTAATGCTCCCTCTATACAACAGTCTTGTCTATAAAATTATTTTTTCTGTACAGTATTACGTTTTTTGTTTCGTGTAGTTTCTCCTTGTGGTGCACAGGTTCTCTAAAAATTCAAGCAACCAGAAAAATTTTGTTTCGTAGAGAGAATTTAATTGTGCAGAGATTCCACCTGTATCCTTTATCTATATGCAAGTACCATGTGCACTTCTTCTGGAAAAATTAAGGTTGAAATACGTACAGGGTGGGCTTAGTGTGCAGGTACCCATTTTCATTAAAATAAATATGCATGTAGAATATTGTTGCAGCGAATCCCATTACTGTATAATGAATTATTGCTTACAATTCGTCGGTTTTTCAGCCTCTGACCAATAGCCACCTTCTTAAATGTTAAGTATGACACATTTTTGATTGGAATATATAGCTGATTTCTAAGTCCCAAAGTCATGGTAGCATGATTAAAGTTTATATTCTTGAGCAGGTCCTATTTCAATTTATTTCGGTGAAATTGATGAAGAGGATATTCCGCTTGGCACCAATCCTGTTACAATTATTTATGATGCTTCTTTATACTAGATTGCAAGATTTTGTTGTTGCAAATTATTATTTTCTGAATTCTGTTTGCAGCTAAAAAAATCTGGCGGGTTGATCCTCATTTATTTGGGGACAATCTTGTCACAAACAAAAAAATACGTGAGTTAGTTTTCGTCGAGTTTAAATTTTGCGATATACATACTTTTTACGTGGCTTTTTTCATGCTGTGCACAAATATAAATTATTTTCCATTATACGCAGACACAGACAAGGACCAGCAGGTCAACAGCAGATACGAAGGATGCCTAACATTTCTTTTAAATTTTTAAGAGTCAATTTTTGTTTGTTTTCATACATTTTATCACTTATTATGGTAAATTAATTTTCTTCACAAAGCTGATGTCATTTTTGGGCGCTCAGATCTGGAGATGATAGAGAGAAACCATTGATAAGTTTGTGAAGAATCATTCGGGTTCAAGGGTGATCGATTTATTCAATAATCCGAAAACCTTGAAGCGATGTAATTTCCGTTTGAATACTATATTCTATTTGGAGCAAACAGACGCCAATTGTTGAAAATCGTCCAAAATTGTATCCTGAGATTCCTGACATTTTTGAGCAAGGACATAACGAAAAATATTGGTTCAGACTCGGGAATACGTAAACTTGTCTTTCGATCCCTCGAAGAGACCTTATATACTCAGACATATTTACATAAGTAATGCATTTAAATTTCAGAAGCGACAACTTTTCCAGAGCGGAAAATCAGAATAGGTTCATGAAATAACTGGTAACCTTAAAGCAAGGATTTAATGCTTGGTAATCTGCCACCAATTTTTAACAAGTTTCTGAACTGATGTTCAGATGAATCCCTGAGATTGTCATTATCAAGGAATCGATCCTCTATAGGTGCTAAAATATTTTTTGTCTCATCTTTTACATTTTTCCAGACTTTGATGCGCTGGCTGAAATTCGCTGATTCTTACCACAACCATTGAAACTGGGATTATAGTTTCATCATTACTTTATCATAAACAAAACAAAATGATTCTGAATTGAAATGTAATCATCCGAGCTGTAATAATGGTCAGATCCAAAAGACAATTTTTGGCTGAAACTGTTACCTTTTGAGACTCGAATGTCCGATATAAGCATTGATGGCTTGCCATTTAATTCTTGACCACCACGTTTCATGCCGTCTAGCAATTCTGCTGAGAATAAAGGGCTGGGTTTTTAAACGGTTCCCAGGTAAAGGATCGCGCGGGGGTTGTCCGATTGTGGGCTAATTAGACGCAGAGNTGGATTGAGAAATAATGGAAAACGTAGTCGGATGCACGCTGAAGGGAAAGGGCGTCTCATCGTTTTCCTCGTGGCGTATGGCTGCTTCCTTTTTGCATTGTCGGCAAAAGTGATGTCTTACTCAGATGGGTGTTGCCTGTATATAGCAGGAGTTTGGGCGAACGCCTCTCCGGTTGCCGCAGAAATGGAATCATTCGTTCACGATATGAAGGGGGGGGGGGGGGAATCGATCGTTCCTTTATGACTATTTTCGATGCAAAACCCAAAATTTCCCTCAATACAGTGAGACCCCCACACAAGCAGACACCTCAATATGAGGACAATTCAACATGGGGCACATATTTTTCAATAAAAAAGGCATAAAAAGGCACAACACACAAACACTTACTCATCACAAGGACATTGCATGATAAAATTAGCAATACATTTCAAAAAAAATTTGACTTTTATTTGGCTTGATTGCAAGAAACATATATTTCTAACCCTAAGATTTGTGCAAGAAAATTTTTTGTCAATTATCCCATAATTTTTCCACCCATTCCACTAATTTAAAAAATTACCTATTGCATAGAGGGACTTCCTTCTCTTGTTGTGACTTGAATGTTATTTTTGTAAATGTCAACATTTCAATGTACTGTACAGAGATACACTATTCAATGCTCCAAATGTTCTTATTGAGTCGAAAATATATTCACAAATCAAATTCAAGTGGCAAAATTTTTTTTATTAAATTCTGAAGAATACTTCTTTTTTTTAAACACCAATTAAAAATTAAATACTGTAGTGTAAGTCAATGGGAAAACAATACTTGACTTAGGGACAATTCAACTTAGGGAGACTCTTGATGCACCAATTACATCTACATCTGGGGGTCTCTCTGTACTTTAATGCTCTCTCTAGAACTGTCTTGCCTATGCAATTATTTTTTCTGCACAGTATTATGATTTTGTTTTGTGTAGTTCACTCCCTGTGGTGCACAGGTTCTCTAAAAATTCAAGCAACCTGAACAATTTTGTTTTGTACAGAGAATTTAATTGTACAGAGATTCCACCTGTCCTTTATTTATCCAAGTGCCATGTGCACTTTTTCTGGAAAACCCAAGGTTGAACTGTGTGTAGGGTATGCTTGATATGCAGGTACCCATTATCATTAAAGTAAATGTGCATGTAGAATATTGTTGCAGCGAATCCCATTACTGTATAATGAATTATTGCTTACAATTCGTCGGTTTTTCAGCCTCTGACCAATAGCCACCTTCTTAAATGTTAAGTATGACACATTTTTGATTGGAATATATAGCTGATTTCTAAGTCCCAAAGTCATGTTAGCATGATTAAAGTTTATATTCTTGAGCAGGTCATATTTCAATTTATTTCGGTGAAATTGATGAAGAGGATATTCCGCTTGGCACCAATCCTGTTACAATTACTTATGAGGCTTCTTTATACTAAATTGCAAGATTTTGTTGTTGCAAATTATTATTTTCTGAATTCTGTTTGCAGCTAACAAAAATCTGGCGGGTTGATCTTCACTTATTTGGGGAAAATCTTGTCACCAAGGAAGAAATACGTGAGTTAGTTGTCCTCGAGTTTAAATTTTGCGATACATTTTTTTTTTCGTGGACTTTTTTTCCCGCTGTGTACAAACATAAATTATTTTCCATTACACAGACACAGACACGGACCATCAGGTCAACAGCGGATACGAAGGATGCCTCGCATTTCTTTTAAATTTTCAAGAGTCAATTTTGGTTTGTTTTCAATACATTGTATCACTTATTATGGTAAATTAATTTTCTTCATAAAGCTGATGTCATTTTTGGGCGCTCAGATCTGGACATGATAGAGAGAAACCATTGATAAGTTTGTGAAGAATCATTCGGGTTCAAGGGTGATCGATTTATTCAATAATCCGAAAACCTTGAAGCGATGTAATTTCCGTTTAAATACTATATTCTATTCGGAGCAAACAGACGTCAATTGTTGAAAATCGTCCAAAATTGTATCCTGAGATTCCTGACATTTTTGAGCAAGGACAGCATAACGAAAAATATTGGTTCAGACTCGGGAATACGTAAACTTGTCTTTCGATCCCTCGAAGAGACCTTATACTCAAACATAAGTAATCCATTTAAATTTCAGAAGTGACAACTTTTCCAGAGCGGAAAATCAGAATACGTTCATGAAATAAGTGGTAACCTTAAAGCAAGGATTTAATGCTTGGTAATCTGCCACCAATTTTGGACAAGTTTCTGAACCGATGCTCAGATGAAACCCTGAGATGGTCATTATCAAGCAATCGATCCTCTGTAGCTGCTGAAATAGTTCTAGTCTCATCTTTTACATTTTTTTCCAGACTTTGATGTGCTTATACTGAAATACACTGATTCTTACCACAACCATTGAAACTGAGATTATATTTTCATCATTACTTTATCATAAACAAAACAAAATGATTCTGAATTGAAATTTAATCATCCCAGCTGCAATAATGGTTAGATCCAAAAGATAATTATTGGCTGAAACTGTTACCTTTTGAGACTCGAATATCCGATATAAGCATTGATGGCTTGCCATTCAATTCTTGACCACCACGTTTCATGCCGTCTAGCAATTCTGCTGAGAATAAAGGGCTGGGTTTTTAAACGGTTCCCAGGTAAAGGATCGCGCGGGGGTTGTCCGATTGTGGGCTAATTAGACGCAGAGGGCCAGCAAAGGTGCGACTTAATTGCTAACTATTTCGACGCGGATGAAAGCCGTAGTGTGGAATTTATTATCCAATCCTTTGACCCAAGTTCTGAGCCAATCCTTTTTCAGCATCTCGCAGTGTTTCTTCAGTCAGAGACTTTCGTCAATGAAGAAGTTGTGGATTTTTTCCTCTTGCGAATATGCTGCGATACGGATGATATTTAATAAGTGTGTCAGCACTCAACACCCGACCATTTTGTGAGGATACATCTTTTTTTCTCAGAATTCATTCTTACGCCCATATAGCAGATGTAATTGATAAATATTAATCAATATACTGCACCAAAAAGAAACGATGCTAAAGAATATATCCCAGGAACGGCGGGAACGCAAATTCCGCAAAAATCCTTTTTTCTCGAATCTTCGATTCCTCTTCGTTAATTCTTTCAATTCTTGCGTGAAAAATCAAGTGTATGCAGAAGACGCATTTCACATGAAATTTTACTACGTATTCGATGAAAAAAATGTACAAGTCTGCATGAAAAATCTGTTCGACGAAAAATGGAAAATTTGATCGATGATAATGAAAAACCTGTGGACTTACTGGCAGCTTTAATTCCTCTCAGCAGTTATTTCTTACATCGGAAATCGAACGTTTCTACAGAAGTCACATTTACTACCAAAAAGTAAACGCATAAGCTGTTCTTTACCTTTTTTCTACACGGGTCGTGTCGTCTTTAGTTTACTTCGGAGGTTTTTCGGAACTTCGACTTTGTTGGAAACCCTTCACTGTAGATGTGCTGTTAGCGTTATTTGTTACTAATCTTCGAGGTCCGAAGCTGTGGACTTACTGTCAACTTTAATATCTTTCAGCAGTTAATTCTTTCAATTCTTACATCGGAAATCGAACGTTTCTACAGAAGTCACATTTTCCATTAAAAATTATTTCGTATTCCACAAGAAATGAAAAAAAATCTGCCCAGTAGAGCAGAAATCAAATGAAGCCTCAAAAATGACTTGAAGCTGAAACAACCTTCGGGAAGTGACATCTACACAACAATCCCAATAAATTTACTAATCTTCGAGGTCCGAGTTCTCTTGAACCAGTTTCCTGAATCAAAAACTCAGAATTTAATTGACGATCTTCGAATCGCTGAATCCATTTCCTTGGAATTACTTCTTCGAGTGTCCCATATTTTTAGATTATTTTAATACAGTATTATTAATAATGCAATTCCCTGCCCCAGAGAATATTTGTAATGCGTTTATTTCTACGATTCTTTTCGAAACGAAGCACGAGCCCGTTTTTGTCATTTCGCAGTGGATTCCATCTTCGAAAATAATGCTGATTGCTTCCTAAACACTGGAAGTATCAAAATCGAGCACAGAATGGCCACATATTGAATTAGAATGCTCTTCATTTAATTAACATAATAATGTCATGTTTGTGCTTGTGTGAATACAGAATCCATCAATTCAGGTCCTATTCAGCTTGGTTACCATTATAGTTCTTTTCTGAGATTTTAGTTATTTTATTACCATGTTTTTATGAACTCACTTTCTTGTCTGTCTGTTTGTCTGGATCAAATTTTGAAACTCATTTGCGTATTCGACAAGAAATGGAAAAAAGATGTGCCCAGCACAGCAGAAATCAAATGAAGCCTCCAAAAAGCCTTGAAGCTGAAACAACCTTTGGGAAGTGACATCTACACGACAATCGCAATAAACGTACTAATCTTCGAGGTCCGAATCTGTGGACTTACTGTCAACTTTAATATCTTTCAGCAGTTAATTCTTTCAATTCTTACATCGGAAATCGAACGTTTCTACAGAAGTCACATTTTCGATTAAAAATTCGTTCGTGTTTGACAAGAAATGAAAAAAATTCTGCGCAGTACAGCAGAAATCAAATGAAGCTTCAAAAAAGACTCGAAGCTGAAACAACCTTCGGGAAGTGACATCTACACTACAATCGCAATAAACTTACTAATCTTCGAGGTCCGAAGCTGTGGACTTACTGGCAACTTTAATTCCTCTCAGCAGTTAATTCTTTCACTTGTTGCATCGGAAATCGAACGTTTCTACAGAAGTCACATTTTTCATTAAAAATTCTTTCGTATTCGACAAGAAATGGAAAAAAAATGTGCCCAGTACAGCATAAATCAAATGAAGCTTCAAAAATGACTCGATGCTGAAAGAACCTTCGGGAAGTGACATCTACACTACAATCGCAATAAATTTACTAATCTTGGAGGTCCGAGTTCTCTTGAACCAGTTTCCTGAATCAAAAACTCGGAATTTAATTGACGATCTTCGAATCGCTGAATCCGTTTCCTTGGAATTGCTTCTTCGAGTGTCCCATATTTTTAGATTATTTTAATACAGTATCATTAATAATGCAATTCCCTGCCCCAGAGAATATTTGTAATGCGTTTATTTCTACGATTCTTTTCGAAACGAAGCACGAGCCCGTTTTTGTCATTTCGCTGTGGATTCCATCTTCGAAAATAATGCCGATTGCTTCCTAAACACTAGAAGTATCAAAATCGAGCACAGAATGACCACGTATTGAATTAGAATGTCTTTATTTAATTATACATAATTATGTCATGTTTGTGCTTGTGTGAATACCGAATCCATCAATTCAGGTCCTGTTCAGCTCGGTTCCCTTTATAGTTCTTTTCTGAGATTTTAGTTATTTTGAAGACATAATTAGTGAGAAGGTAAGCGACTGTCAAATCATTCTTTAATCCATCATTTCCCTGGCCTTGGTAGGAATTAAACTTCAATCCTCTTCCGCTTTGGGTTTTCTGTTTCCCGATTTCCAGTCTCAGCCGGCGCTTGAAAATGATCGACGAGTTCCCACGGTCCTTCCAATTACCTTGATAGCCATCAAAGGGTTGAATATGCCGAAGCAATTAAATTCCAGGGACTGAATCTTATACTATTTGTACCAGGGGATCGAAATGCGTCCACCAGAGGGCATCGCATCATGCTTCGAACTATCAGGTCAGACGAATTTGCTATCAGGTTTTAATCGTTTTATCGTCCAGGAGAAATAATAGCAACGCAGCGATGAATAACACTTGAAGCAAGGAGTGTTCTACTGAAAAATCCCATGAATGGAACAGCAATTTTCATTCATGGAATCACTCAGTAATTTTTCGATTAATATGGCACTCTTCATGATTTTGTAGGCAATTGGGTGAAATGAACAATCATTAACTTTTCTGTGAAGTTACGTGTTCTGTTCGCGAGTTCTCTTCTCCGGTTTTGGAGAAATTACAGTTCGTGAAATTTGAAATAAAATTACAATGTGAACATTGAATTCGATGTTCGAGTATATCTCGTAGCAATTTTACGAAGCTTTCATAATTTATATCATAATAGAAAATTTCTGTATGCGTTTCTCTGACAGCGGAATCCGTAATATTTGTTTCGATAAAAAGCAGTAACGTCTCTTCAACGTAAAAAATTGTATTAACTGTAAAATTTCACGGAAAAAACCGGAAAATATGGCACATAAAATGTAAGGAATTTCCAAGCTTCAATCATTACAGGACTTTCATTTACGTTTAAAATTTATGAGCCTTTAAATATGTTTTTTTGTAACCCTGACATATACCGTATGCCATTGTCAATCCAACAGCGAGAACGGAAAGCAATCCATAATAAAATAAATTCTTCAAGGTTAGGATTAACAGGGCAGGAAATCTCCTCTGACAAAATACTTTTCAAGAAGAACTATGGAGTACTTTTCGTTTCAGAACTTGTGAAAATTGCCGTAAATCTCGCTTTGAAAGTATTAAATTCATACTTGTACATACAGCGTTGATAAGGAAGGCAAGGTAAGAAAGCCCGAGGAAAAAATTCGGACAAGAAATGCGCTTCGTTGGCATTCAAACGAGAGCACCTCCAAGTTTTCATGAGAAAAATGTAATTGAAACGCAATTGCAAATTTCAAAAATTCAGAAGTATATTCATATTAAATTTTCCAAACAAAACAAAATCAGGCGAAGCTATGATATTTATTCAAAAAACTGGAAACAAATGGTCGATAAAAAAAAGGTTTCAATGTCGCAGTTGGGTGAATTTGTTTCCAGATGTTTAAAAAACAGTTTACCAGTGGAAATTTGCAGATCCAGTCTCACACAGGTGGCTGATAATTTTGCTAAGTTTTGAAGTGAAAGAAAAATACATCATGATAGAGCGACGTGTGCATTTCAAATGCACGTGCGGTTTGACAAACAGGCAGCTGTTGATTGCAATCGGTTGTGCAGAAATTGCAGAGGAAAATACAAAGTTTCCACATCGATATATCTACCATAAATTCCTGCTACAAACAGAGAGTGTGCGTCCATTTACATAATCGAATAATTAACGCATATGTCTCATTTTTCCCGGTCGATTCGGCTGAAAATTCCCAATTTCACATTAGAATAAAAAATTAAACAGATATGCCAGTCATGACTCATGAGAACGCATATTAGGGATAACTCGAATTAAATGAAGCTCCCGCGTAAAGAATAAAAACATTCAAATTAAAAGAGAGAATATGATAACATAATTAGCATATTTTCAAAATGCCAGCGGTATTTGATCTCTTAATGCTGGTATTGTTCCCATCATGTACGGAACGAAGTGACCGAAAATAGAAGGGCTTGAAGGATTTCGTCAGAAAATGTTAGTTAGTGCCAAAAAAAAGTGAATACCTAAAGTCACCAGCCAAGACAAAGAAAAAATTTGTTTAGAACACAAGAATACGTTGTAAAAATTAATTGTTATCTAATTTAATGTGCACAGTTAAAGATGAAAAATTATTAGCATTCAAAAATTAAAAATCCAATGCACAATCTCATTATCGTTCTGTTAAAATTCGCTCATGCAATAGAACTACTAAATCAATATCAAGAACTACATCGAAAATTCTGGAAGATGAATGGTATATTGAATTTTTGAAGCTTCTGGGAAAACGATGAAACTTTCTGAGCATCCGTAAATGCTGTAAAATACTCGTAACGTGGCTTATTAGAATTTGTCTAAAATTTCGCAGTATACAGTACTTTGACCAAGTGCGTCAAAATCGTATTTGTACACCGCAACGAAAGCTGCTTCGGTTTTTCCATGGTCTATCCCCAAGGACAAAAAGAACACCTGATATATTATGTGTATACCACGATGAAGTGTGCAGCTTTTCAAAACATTAATATGAATTTCAGGCGCGTAAAATATTTTCAAATAATTGGCACGTGTTTCCATGACTTTCCACAGACTGGTCGTGCCACATTTAAAAGCCACGGGTATATAAACCCAGCGTCTGTCACACCTTACCAGTTCAGAGTTCCAGTAGGAAAACTAACAGTATTTGAAAACGATCAGTGTTTTATTTTGTCGTCTGAAAAAAAAAATTATGAGTTCATATTCTCAGGCTAGAGTGTGCAGGACTTGCAATATAATAATTGTAAAAAACATTCCACATTTTTCAGCAGTATTCATTCAAGAATTTTTTTTCCAGGAAAATCTGAAAGAAACGCAATGAAATTGGCACTTTTGCTGTTCTGTATCTTGCTGACAGTTGTTCTTGTAGAATGCAGTCGGGAAAGAGGAAGACATGGGCGAGGCAAAGGTGGAGGCAAAGGCAAAGGCAGTCGGGAACGGAGCAGCAGCAGCAGCAGCAGCAGCAGCAGCAGCGAAAGCGGTGAGTATATACAGGAGAGGAAACAATGGAAATGAACTCATTATCTACATCCTGTATTAAATTTTCTGAAAAATTAAAAGTCTGGTATTGAAAAGAAAAACCGACTCGAAAATTGAAGATTTTCAAAGGTTTTTCCTTCATATTTTTGAACGGATCCTCCCGATTTCAATCCGCTCAATAACGTTGTTGCAAATATTTTTCCGTAACAAGATCATGTTGCGCCTTATATTGAATGGTACATCTAGTAAATCACATCTCACGTCTGTACATTTTAGATTTGCAGGTCAAGTGATTCGTTTTTTTTTTAAAGAAGAAAGCTTTCGAATAAGTATTTCTTTTTTCTATAGCTTAGTGAAAAAAATCGTCATCATTTTTAATTTGGGAACAAAAAAGAAAAATAATTTTCTTCGGTTGTGACCCGTGAGAGTATCGAAGCATTCGAAGGGTTACACTTTTCCCTGAAACAGTAAAAACTGACGCAGTTAATTCTACAAAAACTTGATTTCATCGAAAGGAATTCACAGATTAATACGCGAAAATTATTTGATTGGCATTTAAAATTCAACAGTGTAATAAGTTGATAATTCAAAATAAATTTCTTCTATATCGAATCAGTTCAGAAATTATGGTAGATCACACATAACAAGAAAAAAGTGACCAAAGGCTGGCCAATTTCTCACGATTATCACGAGATATGACCAACGAAAAGATCCGTCAAAAATTTATTTCAGATGAATGTGTCTCATAGAAATTAATTCCACGCAGTCGGCCAAGCGATAACTATGTGAAAATTGAAAATTGACTTTGAAAAAGGTTTAAAAATATTCTAGGGACTTTTAGGAGAAAGATTAAATTAAAGATGCAGATTAAATGAAATGAAGATTACTGATTCCGACTTCGGTCACTTGAATACTTGTGGAATGTCAAATATTCAAATAAAAAATTGTTTAAAGTTCCGTTTATTGTTTAAACCTGAAGATTGTGGAACAAAACATATATTTCGCTTCCGTTCATATGATTATAAAATCTAAGGTTCGAGAGAGAGACGGACAACAACCCGTCGACCGACCACCACGCGCCGTAACCCATCAACACGTCCGACGCTCACAACTAGGAGAATGACTCCACCGTCGGGATCAACCCCCAGAACAACCCCTAGAACAACACCACCATCAACGACACGAGCATCGACCACACAAGCAACAACCAGACAATCAACAACCACACGAGCACCAACGACACCAGCGCCAACCACACAAGCGCCAACCACACAAACAACAACCACACAAGCACCAACCACACAAGCGCCAACGACACAAGCGCCAACCACACAAACAACAACCACACAAGCACCCACGACACCAGCACCAACGACACAAGCACCAACGACACCAGCACCAACGACACAAGCGCCAACGACGGTTCCTCCTGCTACAACGGCGGCTACCGGAGTACCAACAACAGTTAGAGGAGGAACTTCCGCAGCAACTACACCTTCCCCATCTTGTTGCAGTGAGAGAATGCTTTTGAAATTCCGAGAATTTTTTAAAAAATTGAACTATAAATTTCAAAATCGAAAATTGCATCGCAAGAGTCCAGAAAATTCTTAAAATATTAATTATCATATTCATGGCAGTGAACATATTGAAAGGTTGTAACTTATTCTCAGTTTGCTGACGGCGTTCCGCAAAAAGTAATTTTGGAGCATTTATGATGTATACGACCCAAAAAAACGAATTTATTTTTATTTAAATCGTTTAATGAAATATAACCACTCATCTATCAACTTTCCGAATCATCGAAACTTTTTAGGATGAGCCAGAATTATTGAAACTTTTGGAAAACCGGTCAAACATGTTGAACTTTTTGCATCGTTTTTCTCTCATTTCATCGATAGATCGATTTGCTATTTATGGATGTTAATATTACCCCTGATCTATTTTAAAGTCATGATTGAATTTCACATTTATTCTCGCCATTTATAATGAAAACACCCAATTTTGCCAGGTGGATAAATAAATACACTTTCTTCCCTTCCCTGATAAAAAAGCAAAATGTCAATAATACAAATTTCAGCCTCAGGCAATTACTGATCCCAATTTAAAGCACAAGGTGTGCAGCCTGCTCCCAGAAAAGGTTTAGTCAATTGAACAATTTGGAAAGAATCTTTGATGAGAAATCATATAAGGTTAACAGTTGATCTTGGTCCTCTATGGTTTTGGAAATAACCTTTTCATTGGATTGTATGAGTCCCAAATCCTTTTAAAGCCTATTTCTGTAGCTGTGGAATGGTGGGCATAAGAAAAGAAGGTGCTCTGGTGATAAATTAACCAATGTATTTATACTGCAAAAATTACACCACTTAGCTGCCTCGGAAAATTTGATGCATTTTTTTTAAAAATGCCATGAATTTGTCAAAAGAGTTATGCTATCATGGACCAAGGGGATGTAAGATGATACCCATTTTAATGGTTTAGTTTTACCACACCCAAAATCAGCTAGTAATTTACTTGAATCAACATCACAATTATGACTAAATTGAGTAATTATAAACTCTGCCCTTATTGATGTTGCACTTGAGAAACTGAACAACATCTTCTGCTGATAATATTGTACTTAATTCTGGGTGCAATACAGATAATTTATCAATGAATGTCCTAAACCCCTGGTATAAAGAAGTTCTGCTGACCAACATACTACAGTGTTCTTTTGCTCAATTTCTAGAGTGTACTGTTGAGCATAAATAAAGCATCTAAAAATGCTACTCTCATAAAAAGTTTCAAGTTCCACTTTTCAGGGAAGAATACTTGCTGAAGTTTCTCTCGACAAAAACTTGAAGAAAAAATTTCTTGGAACTCTTGAATATCAAAATTCAATTTTTTGTTTCAGTATATTTAAACGTGAAAGGCAACCCGATCAGCTCTGGATCTGTGCTGCTTGATGCGAATGGCAGAAATCAAGACGTCACCGTAGCGTATCGATGCGGGTCAAACTTCTACGATGCAACTTGGTAAGATTATCACATTTTCCACAAATATTTTATTTATCTTGTTAGTCTAGTTCTAAGGTTATTCGGGGCCATCGGGGATCAAATGATCGCCAAGTCAAAATCTGAGCGTAAAGGAAACTAGAAGAACAGAAAGTCACTCAACCAAGTGTCAGCTCAAAAATATATGCCAACAGTTCGTGTTTGCTGAAAAAAAAGGATTTCTATCACGATTCTCAGTCGCAGCACTTTTTAAAATTTGAGTAATGTTAAGTGAATTTCTAAAATTCACAGAGATAAAAAGAATTTTTTTTTTGTGCAGCAGGTAAATATTTTGGCAAAACTTATGGATATGCGAAGTTGGTTTGAGCTTATATTTTGCGGCGCTCAGTTGACCAGTCAAAAGGGCTCCAATTTCCAATTTCAACGAATTGCCTGATATTCTGAGTTGTAAAAAAATTTTTTTCAACCAGGAACTTCACAATCTCCCCAACAATCCTTGGAAACCGAACCTATTGTCCTGCAACCTTCACGACCACAAGTCCAAACCAACAATCGAATTGGACACTGCCAATCAATTCCGGGGGCCTCGCGACGATCAGCGGATGTGCAACAAATAAACCATGCTTCTCGCTTAATTTCAGAATAATTGGCAGTAATCCAACCATGCAAGATGTCAAAAATTATCTCAACTCCACGGAAATATTGGGCGAGTTATCTCGCAAAGGTGCGTCTGTTCCGTGGTATGCGCTTTACATTCTATTGGCCGAGTCCGCGAACCCGCAGCAATTCGACGCTTCCGGCTCGCCATTCTACAAAACAAACATCACCGGTTACCTGCTGAATTCCCCGGGAATAGGTCTGTATCAAATCAGCACTGAGAGATTCGGCATCAACTTGACCTGCCAGCACGTGTGGAGCTGGAAGCAGAATACGAAAGCAGCAGTGAATGTCATGCTGAGCCACGAGCTATTGGCCCTAAATGAGGCGTATTTCGGTCGATGCAATTCGCAAAAAATGTGCGGAGGGTCGCCTCCGCCAAAAACTGTCCAGATCCCGACGACGAGCGAAGGCTGTAACGCCAATAGGACATCCTGCGGTTGCACATTTGTCGACACGAACTTTCAGAGACCGAATGCCAATAATGGGTCGAGGAATCAGTTTCCGATTGAAGATGCCTTTGCAATGAAGCTGTACCATGACAAGACTGTCCCGTACTACCGATGGATCAATGGAACGGCGGCTTATCCCAACGGGGCCTGGAATTACACCCCTTGCAATCTTATCACTTCCGTGAATCTCGTGGATCAAGTTTGTGGCTTGCTTTTGAGGGGGGAAAGGGGGATATCTCATACTGAATTCAACTGCAAGAGAGCTTCCAGCGGGTTGATTACTGGAACTTGTCAACGTGACCCCGGTGGGCAGAGGTGTTGTCACAATAATCGGGATCCATGTGATTCCATGAACCCAAATTAATGCGGAGTCCTTTCGTCATAATGTCCGCGAGACTTCAAGATTTACCAACAACACAAATATTGACAAAATGTTAGTGTGCAGACTCAACCAGATTTGCAAAATAAATTCATACACGGTAAAAGAAACGCAATTCTATCGAAAATCGTGCAGCATTCGGAAGTTATTTTGTGTGAAATTTTGCGGTATTTATGCGTGATCGCCAATTTTTTCGAAATGCACTCGAGTTGAAGCATTAAAATCACGCGTATATTTCTGTCATCCATCAATTTTCTCCGTTTTCGCTGGTTGGTGGCAGACTTCGTCGTGGTTTTATTACAGCAGCAACGTAGTGAGACCCCGAGATACGGACGCCCCGAAATACGGACGATTCCTCAGCGAAACACTTGAAACTAAAAAACAAGCAATGCCTCGACATCTGGAGCTGCCGAAATTTCTATAGGAGTTTTTTTTTATACCGTATCTCCTGAACCAACTCTCAATATTAGTTTTAAAAATGAAAATAAATCTTATCTTATATGCACTCTAATGCATAATTCAAACAAACTAATTTTTGACTTCTCTTTTTAGATGTCTTCAATCATCTGTCCTTGATCATTTTTCTCTATTTTTCATGCAAAATGGACAGATTATGCGTTTGCTTTTTTTACACAGTTCTTTGGCGCAAGCATTCTTAAGCTGACAAACCATTTTTATTCAATTTTTCGGGGAACTTTTTCAATGTTTCTGACGAACAGCTGGAGAACAAAATGAGTGTGTACACATTGAATTATGGACATTTTGTCATGGAAACAAGGTGCAAGCAACATTTACGGTGAGACCTCCACATGCGGACACCTTGACATGGGGACAATTTAACATGGGGACCTTTATTTTTCAATAAAAAATCATAAGAAAGGCCCGACATGCGGAAACTGACTCAGCATGAGGACATTGAATGATAAAATTGGCAATAAATTTTAGGAAAATTGACTTTTATTAGGCTTAATTGCAGGAAACAGATATTTTGAACCCTATACATCATGCAAAAAAATTCTTAGGTAGTTTTCCCATCACTTTCCCATCCATTCAGCAAATTAAAAAAGTACCTCTAGCACAGCTAGAGGGACTTCCTTCTCTCTTTGTGACTTGGATGTTATATGTACAGATGCCAACATGTCAATGAACTGTATACAGTGGTATACTATTCAATACTCCAATGTTCTTATTGGGTTGAAAATATATTCACTGAATCAAATTCAAATGGCAATCAAATTTTTTTCATTGAATTCTGAAGAGTATTTCTTCCATAAAACACAAATTAAAATTATATAATGAAAATCTATGGGAAAAAATACTTAACTTAGGGACAATTTCAACTTAGGGACACCCTTGATGCATCAATTATGTCCGCATCTGGGGGTCTCACTGTACATCTGGGACACCCACTGCATTTATAAAGCCTCCTTGAAGACATGAATAATCATGGAAAGGTTATTATTGCATGAGTAAGTCTGAACGCATGCCAATTTCTCTTCTTTGGGATTGTAATCAGTAAATTTCTCTTGTTTCGATACAATGGAACGACTGAGGCCAACAGTCGAATTCGCTCACGCTTCTCGTCTCTCATTCACATCTGCAAAAGATTAAATCTTCAATACGCAAAAAGCCTTTGAATTTGAAAGCAAGTCGAGACGGGGACGGATTTCACAGAATTTGGAAGAAACGTGCGGAACTTCTAGGAATAAATTGGAAACTCCCAGGCGAAAAGTTTCATCAGGAAATGGGATCTTCCAAGGTATGGAATAACAGAAAAGACTTTCCCGTACCAGAGATGATTCATTAAAGTACAATAAAAAAATAAGCTTGGGATGCTATATTTTCTTTAGCCCAATTTAATTTTTGCCTGAATAGATTCATAGTTTTCAACAATCATTGAATAAATTTCAACCATCAAGGCTTACAAGCGGTTATCATCGTTTTATATAAGTTTGAACTGAATACCACTCCGAAGGAGAAACAATGGAACACTTTTTTCTTCCTTAAAAACTCAAGTTTTCATATAATTAGTATCTATATCGAAAAGATCTATTTTTATGTTTTTACGCGGATATTGCAAGTAAATACGTGGAGCTTGATGTGGCGAACACCTTTGATTCTTTTTCGAAAGGGCAAGAAAAACATTGTTTTTCTTGGGAACTGTTCAATTTCCACAATGATAATTTCGAGCGTCGAGCATGGAAAATGTCTGCAAATTTTCCCATTTTATTCGCGCCCAAAATGTCGGAAGTTGTATCTTTGTCCCGAAGAAACACCAAGTACAGTATTCAATTTTTTCGTGATGAAAGAACTCTTTACGTGTGAATTCCAGCCTTCATTCGCGTTTTAGACAGGGAAGAAATATTTGCATGTAATTGTTAGATTCCATTGGAGACTATCAAATTTAAAGATGAGTATATGTGATTGAGATTGCAAAAGAAACCTAAATTTTCAAAAGAGAAAATCAAATATGAAAGGAGAAATTCTGACTATTCCGACGAAAGATGCCAGCTTCTTTTCTCCTTCCAGATGAGAATGAAGATGTCAAAAGGATTCTAATTTTAATTGGAACTTATCAGATGCTCAGGAAGTGCATGTTTCCCCTCTTAATGTTTCTCTCATCTTGGATATCCATGTCAAAATGAAATATTCAATGGAAACCTGAGTTTTGAAAAATTCGGAAAAAATCGGAACTGACAAATCGTTCCGCTTCCAAATTTCATAAACCTTCAATATATGAAGATTTGAAAAAAGTCCATGGAAGTCCCTGGCTTTTCTCGAAACGAATACGATTTTCCACTACAGGGTTTTGCATTGAATTTGCGTTACTTCATCCACTTGTCAGAAAATGTAAGAGCATGTGTAATTGAGATCTCTGCTGTTTCAGCTTCCGTGCACTTCTCAGATGAGGAAAAGAGATTTTCAGATGTAATTTCTTGTCTTCATATTTAACTTACTGTCCCGTACTACCGATGGATCAATGGAACGGCGGCTTATCCCAACGGGGCCTGGAATTACACCCCTTGCAATCTTATCACTTCCGTGAATCTCGTGGATCAAGTTTGTGGCTTGCTTTTGAGGGAAAGGGGGATATCTCATACTGAATTCAACTGCAAGAGAGCTTCCAGCGGGTTGATTACTGGAACTTGTCAACGTGACCCCGGTGGGCAGAGGTGTTGTCACAATAATCGGGATCCATGTGGGTCCATGAACCCAAATTAATGCGGAGTCCTTTCGTCATAATGTCCGCGAGACTTCAAGATTTACCAACAACACAAATATTGACAAAATGTTAATGTGCTGACTCAACCAGATTTGCAAAATAAATTCATACACGGTAAAAGAAACGCAATTCTATCGAAAATCGTGCATTCGGAAGTTATTTTGTGTGAAATTTTGCGGTATTTATGCGTGATCGCCAATTTTTTCGAAATACACTCGAGTTGAAGCATTAAAATAATTCGTATATTTCTGTCATCCATCAATTTTCTCCGTTTTTGCTGGTTGGTGGCAGACTTCGTCGTGGTTTTATTACAGCAGGAACGTAGTGAGACCCCGAGATACGGACGCCCCGAAATATAGTCGATTCCTCTGTGGAACACTTGAAACTAAAAAACAAGCAATGCCTCGACATCTGGAGCTGCCGAAATTTCTAAAGGAGTTTTTTCTTATATCTCCTGTACCAACTCTCAATATTATTATTTTTTGATCTTATCTTGTATGCGCTCTATAATTCATAATCCGAAAAAGCTAATTTTTGACTTCTCTTTTTAGATGTCTTCAATCATCTGTCCTTGATCATTTTCTCTATTTTTCATGCAAAATGGACAGATTATGCGTTTGCTTTTTTTACACAGTTCTTTGGCGCAAGCATTCTTAAGCTGACAACCCGTTTTTATTCAATTTTTCGGGGAACTTTTTCAATGTTTCTGACGAACAGCTGGAGAACAAAATGAGTGTGTTCACATTGAATTATGGACATTCTGTCATAGAAACAAGGTGCAAGCAACAATTACGGTGAGACCTCCACATGCGGACACCTTGACATGGGGACAATTTAACATGGGGACCTTTATTTTTCAATAAAAAATCATAAGAAAGGCCGACATGTGGAAACTGACTCAGCATGAGGACATTGAATGATAAAATTGGCAATAAATCTTAGGAAAATTGACTTTTATTAGGCTTAATTGCAGGAAACAGATATTTTGAACCCCATACATGCAAGAAAAATTCTTAGGTAGTTTTCCCATCACTTTCCCATCCATTCAGCAAATTAAAAAAGTACCTCTAGCACAGCTAGAGGGACTTCCTTCTCTCTTTGTGACTTGGATGTTATATGTACAGATGCCAACTTTCATCAGGAAATGGGATCTTCCAAGGTATGGAATAACAGAAAAGACTTTCCCGTACCAGAGATGATTCATTAAAGTACAATAAAAAAATAAGCTTGGGATGCTATATTTTCTTTAGCCCAATTTAACTTTTGCCTGAATAGATTCATAGTTTTCAACAATCATTGAATAAATTTCAACCATCAAGGCTTACAAGCGGTTATCATCGTTTTATATAAGTTCGAATTGAATACCACTCCGAAGGAGAAACAATGGAACCCTTTTTTCGTTCTTAAAAACAAAAGTTTTCATATAATTAGTATCGATATCGAAAAGATCCATTTTTCTGTTTATACGTGGATATTTAAAGGAAATACGTGGAGTTTGATGTGGCGAAAACCTTTGATTTTTTTTTCGATACGGCAAGAAAAACATTGTTTCTCTTGGAAACTGTTCAATTTCCACAATGATAATTTCAGCGTGGATGGAGCATGGAAAATGTCTGAATATTTTTCCACGTTGTTCTCGCCCAAAATGTCGGAATTTGTATCTTTATCTTGAAGAAACAACAAGCATTCAAATTTTTCGTGATGAAAGCAGAACTCCTTACGTGGGAATTTACTATTCCAGCCTTCATTCACGTTTTAGACGAGGAAGAAATATTTGCAGGTAATTGTTAGATTCCAGTGGAGACTATCAAATTTAAACATGAGTATATGTGATTGAGATTGCAAAAGAAACCTACATTTTCAAAAGAGAAAATCAAATATGAAAGGAGAAATTCTGACTATTCCGACGAAAGATGCCAGCTTCTTTTCTCCTTCCAGCAAAAGGATTTCTCATTTTAATTGGAACTTATCAGATGCTCAGGAAGTGCATGTTTCCCCTCTTAATGTTTCTTTTATCTTAGAAATCCATGTCAAAATAAAATATTCAATGGAAACCTGAGTTTTTAAAAATGCGGAAAAAATCGGAACTGACAAATCGTTCCGCTTCCAAATTTCATAAACCTTCAATATACAGTATGAAGATTTGAAAAAAGTCCATGGAAGTCCCTGGCTTTTCTCGAAACGAATACGATTTTCCAGTAAAAGGTTTTGCATTGAATTTGCGTCACTTCATCCACTTGTCAGAAAATGTAAGAGCATGTGTAATTGAGATCTCTGCTGTTTCAGCTTCCGTGCACTTCTCAGATGAGGAAAAGAGATTTTCAGATGTAATTTCTTGTCTTCATATTTAACTAGCAATCAGACTTCCCGAATGGGAAGAGCAAAATTCTACTTACCAATTTCTTCTAGATATTATATGCGAAAAAAAATTATTTGGAAAGTGACAGAAAAATGTACAAAGCCAAATCGTTTCAGTTCCAACTGTCTTCAACTTTCTACATTTAGAAGAAAAAGTTTCCATTTTTCCCTTGTTTTTTTTTTCGTTCTCGGAACCGATCAGATGTTCAGGCGGAAGTGGTTTTTTCAACGCATTGGTGTTCCTTTCTTCCGGAAACCCATCAGAATAAAAGAGTAGGGGGTGGAGGAGATGCAATCCCGAGATGTACTGAGATGAGATCGACGGTGTCGGACCAACAAAAAAAAAAGGCCAGCACACAAACAAACAAACAATATCCCGAAAGAAAAGTAAACGCGGAAGAAAACGGAAAAAAAACAACAGTATAGGAAAGCAAAGGTATTCCAGCCTGGTACGTAATTCGGAATTGAAATTCGGCTCGTGAGGCGAGACGAGATCGCTTCGAGCTCATCTCGGATTCGAAGCGACGCTCTGCGATTGTTTTCCATTTCTCTACCTTCTCTTCTCTCTAGCCCTCAAAATCACGGATGCAACTCCTTCTTCGTCTTCTTCCTCTTCTTTCTGTGTATGTGTGTGTGTGTGTTTGAACCTCGCATTGCCGTTTCTGCGACTTCAATTGCCCCCCCCCACTTGCTTGTATTGTATACGTATGCTTCCGCCTGCCCCGCGGAGATAACATTCACTGCAAAAACCTGCTTTCATTTCGTAACCCCTCCCGCGCCAGAATCTAACCAGCAGCAGCAGCAACCCCAGCTCTTGCACAGGCTCGTGTTGCTGCATGGTCCTGAACGAACCCTAGGTGGTTGCATGCAACACGCAGAGGGGCCCAGCAGGTTGTTCTCTGGGGGAACATTTTCCGGTATTACAATTGCATCAGCTGCTTGAATCGATTCGTGAGGTGACTCCAGAATCACAAACTTGCTTATTTTGAAATGGTTCCTCATTTCGCAGAGGAAAATGAAATTCAAATTGGATAATCGCCTGTGATCTTGAGGAAAATTCCGAAAACAAGCACATAAAAGCCTCGATATTACTCAATTTTGAACAGCTGTACACGAAAACTTTAAAGTGGATTAACGAAAACGAAGCTGTTTATATCATCCGAATTTGAGCTGCGTGATGGTATTGCGCTTGGATCCAAGATATTTTAAAAGAAATTCGCGTAAAGTCAAGATCAACATTATTAGCATCAGAGAGATGACAAAATGCAATATCGAAATAGTGTATGGTAGTGATCGAGTCAAATAAAAAGGAGAGATGAAAATAAAAGTGTACTCTCTCATTGAACAAAATTCAAGGGACAAGAAAAAAAATCGCTGTAAAGCGAATTTAATGGAAAAGAACCCATATAACCTGGGAAAAGAAACATCTGTGACCGAAAAAAGTATTCTACAGAGAAAACCGTAGACAAAATCGCTGTATAGAGAGAGTCAAATTGTAATTAGGTAAATATCAATACTAATTTTCAGGAGTAAAATTCATGATGAAATTCAGTTAACGTGTGCTTCATTGAGATGTTCAAAATAGGGATAATTTCTCGTCAAATCTTTTTTGAATTCTTTTGCATCCACCGTGCGGGTTTTCTTCATTGTTCCTATGAAAAAATAATTGTTCTATATGTTGCTAAAGACGATCAAGGAAATGAGTTCAGATAATCTACTTTCCTCTAAGCATTTAGTGATATTTGGATTTTCAAGCCTCTGAATTACTTATTGTTTTCGACCGCCACTGGTCCAATAAAATTATCATCTTCATTTATGCGTAAATGCGAATTTTAAAGTCGATGAGAAGGCGTGCTCAACTTGTCAAAAAACTCTGTTATTTGTCAAGTTTCATTAATCGCAATAGAATGTAGTCACAAATAATTCAACACTCAGCAGGCTTTCAAACCGATCGGAGACATAAAAATGAGAAGTTGAATATTTCATTCTTCATCATTAAATTTTCAAATAAAAATTCCAGTAAAAAATCGAAACAATAACCTGACAAAGGATCAGTGTGAAACGCCATCGCATAAACTGAAACGCTTTCGCAGTTTTAAAGTACACACTTGAAAGCAGCATTCAGAGGAAATAAAGTTGTGACGACTGACGACATGCAAGAATTTTAGATGATGAGCTACATTTTTCAACAGTTCCTATTTACATAATAGCTGCAGAGATATTTAAACTAACCCTTTCTTGTCTGAAACCAGTTAATCCCAGACAGCAGCCACCATAACCCTCGACCGAGCACAACTTGGGGGGTTTTGAATCCGCGGGTTCCAAATCTCTCGAGCCTACAGTGTTTCTTATTTTATAGCGCTCATCAACACTAATCCTCAGGCCAAGGAGGGGTTGGGTCATGAGGGAATCGCGTCGACCCCTTTTTTTATTTTTCTGGAGAGCCTTCGGGGGATTTCGCCGCTAAATTGAAACCGCGTGATGACGGATTCGTGACGGGAAGGAAGTAATTTCTCATCATGGCAGCCAGCAGTTGTTGTACGTTCCACAGGCAGGAAAACCTTTGTGGAGTTCGAACTAGAGGATTTAACTATAAAAAAAAAACACTTTCCTCACGTGGCTTGCATGGTTCAAAAGATTCCTGATGGATTTTTAAGCATCAGGGGACCCCGGGGTTCCCGAGGGTCGAGATTTTGGGAGGATTACAGCTAGATTTTGTTTATAAGCAAAGCTTGAACGCAACGCAATTTCCGAACGTAAAATTAGTTTTTTCCCCCTGCTGGGAGTTGGTGGGCCGTCGTATATTTACTCTATCTGTATTCTCATCAATGTTGAAATTTTAGTCGTGCCATAAATTCGATTGAAAGAGATGGGGATATTTCTGGGTACTCTCACTTATACCGCAGCAAAGGTGAATTTAAACACATATCTGCCATTCGTCTACAATCAAAAACAAATAAGAAAAAAGTATTGCCTGCGCTCATTCACTGGACTTGCAGAAAATTATGTAAATTGGAATGCAATACTGTAATCACACGAAAATACGTGAAGTGAATTTTATGAAGTCTGTTGGGAATGTGATCCTCATTGAAACAAGCGGAATTCAAGTAACATCACGTTAGAAAATGATTTAATAGTGGTGTCTCCTTGATAATTCGTTTTAATTTTCAATATTCGTATCTCTGAGTACAGTACTGTATACGTGATACTATTTGATTCTCAAGACAGCATGAGTAAAGAGCTGATTGAAAAAATCTGGAAAAGCTGCAGTAAAATAGGACTCGATTAAAATTTGAATTTATGCTGTCATTCTAAAGTTTCTAGTACATATCTGAGCAGCGATGGATGAATGGAGATCTATAGTGAGATAGATGCTAATTTAAATTTTTATGATCTAAACTTCTAAAGACTTCGGTGATCATTTTAAGAATTTTAAATAAAAATCTACGATGTAAACTTCAAATTCGGATACTTCAATTTCCTCTCGCGCTTCCTGTTTTTTTCCCTGTGTTTTTAAATTATATGTGAGCTCCTGTTTTCAAATGTAAACGCTGAATATTTCTAAGAGAATCTTAAATGAATTCTCCGAAACCCCATTATTCGTCAAGTAATAAAGGAAGAAATCAAATCCGGTCATCGTTATGATTCAAAACTCTGCAGATTCGCAAACTAAATGCTTAAAAAATTAAAGTTGACGAAGCAAGCTTCTGTTCGATGAATGATGTACTGTATACAATTTTAGATTGTATTTTTGAACAAGACCCCTGATATAAGAACGGAGCACTAAACTTCTGACGAAGAAATCAATCAGAAACATGACAGCTTATATTCAAAATTGCATTTTTAATCGACCAACTTGAAATCTGCTTCCAGAGTGACGAAATTTAATGATTTTTTAACGACAATTTGCATTTTTTACATTTGTTTAATAACTCATTAGCAACTATCCTCACGTCAACAATTTTGTCTGCAAGAATATTTTAATCCTGCATGGACTCGATCCCTAGCTAGAGACATTCTATTACTTGATCAGCAGTGCTCGTGAACAGTTGATTTCCCGGTACTGTATTTCGATTAACTTCATCCAATTTGTCTCATTTAAAATGCCCTCAAGTCATCAAGAAAATTTACTCTTTTCGACAAATTCCTGCTGGAAGCCATTCAGAACTTATTAAACCAAACTCGTCTTCATATTTGCGTCCGCAATCTCGACGCAAATTGGGCGAAGGTGTTTCTTTGCCAAGCCAGATAGCATCAAATAACTAACACCTCGAGGCCATCCTGTAATTCAGTGTCACATAGCCGCGAGGCAAGGTGCTTGACATTTCCCGCCAGGGAGCCCCCATCAGCATTAATCCCACTCGCTACTCGATGTGCTAAATTTTTGCCGAAAAGCTGCTGCGAAATTAAGCATCAGCATTGCCGGATATAGGGAAGCGAGGAAAAGGAAATCCTCGAGTCAGCAATAATTTCTTCCCTGCGAGTGCGAGGAGGCAGATATTGCGGTGATTCTTTTCCATTTTCCTGGAGTGCGATGGGATTTGCAGAGCTCTGTGTGTCTGCAATAATGCTGAGCGCTAAAGCTCGTGCTTCCTTGTTGTTGCTCGTGAATAATTTCCGAAGCAGGACGCAGGTCTTAGTCAGAATTACAGGGATAGTGTAGAAGGAGCAGCGAACTGGCTTTCGAGCTTAGGTGAATAAATTTCTAATCAATGTTTATGCTCACACAACGAAACTTGGTGGGATTCATGAAGGGGGCGAATCGATGACATAAGCGTAACGTGACATTTCGCGTGAATATAAGGTTCAAAAGCTGATTTTGTTTTCTTTTGCGACACGCGGGATTTAGACTGCATAATCCAGAATCTATAATGAGGATATAATTTAAAGACCTCATAATCGGTGAGAACAGTGAGTTTTTTTTTCATTTCAGCTTATAATACGATGAATTCATGGATAAGGGTCTGCAATGACATAAAGGGTAAGTTTTAAAACTGGATTATTCCCTGAGCACTTTAAGCTATGGAATGGAAAAAAGGCTTCGAAAAATA